CCTGCTGAATTACCTTGCGAACAGAGCACTTTTTATGCCGTCATCTTCGGTTTGTCTTAAAGAGGTGATGACACCAGGTTTTTTGTTAAGCCAGCTGAGGATGGAAGGTGCTCACATTACATTTACATTACACAAACGCTTATATTGAACACGATTGCGCACAGTAATGCACAGCATGTAAAGTTTGGCCTGGTCAAATTAAATATCATTAACTCACCCAATTGAGCAGATTCCTTTAAAACAATTTGTACAGCTGTAAAATTAAGTTCACTGTAATGTTTTCTCTGGAAAAAGGAAATGCTGATTACAGTTTGAGTTTTATTATTTGCTGCAAATTAAGTGTTGCACATTTTACTGCGTGCATCCTATTTGTTTTGGTACAGCTAAATCCAACAAACAATCAAAATAAAAGAATCTAAATTGCAGCAAGTGTAGTTTTTCAGAAATGTGTTCAGAATAACTCTTGAGCAGGGAATGTTTCCTGCGAGCTGCCTTCTACATCTGCATGCTAAATATTGGTAAAATGCAAATGATAGCTTTCCAGTTTATTCCCCACTATTGTAATGAACTTGCATTATGGACAATTTAGTACAGGCCTGTGTTTTAGGTTCCTTAGGACACTTTATTTCTGCAAATCTGTGGACTGGCATCCTCTTTGTGCTCCCATATGTAATTGTTATACAAATAATCATCACTTCAAAATCCAGTTGCTATCAGGGAGGGAACAGGCGGTAGTTGGATCTATCATTGCTGCCACTAAAGGAATTATTTCCAGGCAGTATCCTGGCTGTGTTTTCTACAAGCTGATAATGCAATAAAAAAGTGTTGTGTAGCCAGGCAGAAGGACATGAGACCAGTTTTCGGACTTAGGGAGAAAAGCCAGCTGATTTTTAATCTAAAACCTTCCCTCCTGCAAAGGGGACCTTGCGTAGAAAAGGTTTGTGACTTTCTGGCTTTCAGTGGAGACTCAGCAACTCAGGGGTCTGCTGCCTGCTGCCGCCAAATTCCCTCTCCGGCAGCGGAACTGACACTTGTGGCTTTTCACAAACGCTCATTCGTCAGGGCTTAACTGCAGATAGTGGACGGTGGCTTTGGCTGCTGAGGAGCGTGTGCTCATCTGCTTCGGTGGCTACAAGGGGAGCCCCAAGGCAGGGGCCAGAAGGAACCTGGGGGCAGGGACGTTCCGAGCGCTCTAAGGAACGGCATCAGGGCTGCTCTGCTGGATCCTTACTGGCTGCAAGTCGGAGTGGAGTGTTCTGCTGGCTATTTGTATTCGCTTGGGCTAGGACTCTGCAGAGCACGGTACACAAATAACTCTAGAAGGGGATTTATATTTGATGCATATACAATTGTATATTGCGGGTTTGATAAGATGACAATGATTATAGTAAAATGAAAGCATAACTCACGGTACGGTTATTATTATGGGTTTCTTAATCCACTGCTAAAATATGGTTGGGGATTTTGTCTTTAAACGTTAATAATTCTATGAAATATGGCCACACCCGCATCATATGAAGCAACCAATTCTCCAGACAGCAGCCGGTCGCACTGTGAATGGTTTCAGGGTAAGTCTGTGGATCCCATGTACAAGACAGATTCCTAAACACAGACCGAGTGGAATCCTTTTAGCTCGGCAGGTTTCTCTTTTGAGCAGCAGCCTAGGCCAGTGTGGTGGGCGCTGCCCTACTGGGTGTGTTCAGAACTGCACTAACGAGGGGAGAGTTAATGGGTTGCCCAGAGCAACCACCATCAGCCGTTTAGATTCTCAATGGGGAATGATGAAGGAATATGCAATGATGCAAAAATCTGCTTTAAAGTGATTTACAGCAGGGAAATTAGACTGTCTGAACCTGGACCTTTAAAAAGTTGCAGTAACCACCATGTTATGTGGAAAATAACGAGCAGCAAATAGTATTCACTTTTTTCCTAGTATTTCCCACCCCAGGACACGAATAATACAGTTTTCCATTGAAGAGACATAAGGATGGGAATGCAAAAATATTTGGATAATGAAAACTAGCAATTCTGAGGTCTGCTTATGTATAACAGAGTTACATTGCTTTTTTTTATATAGAAAATGTAGCAGGTATTGGTATTTTATTTTTAGTAGCGTAAAAATGACGCAGAAGAAAGATATACTGGGATGATCTCAATGGCCTGATTTCTGGTGTCCATGTAGAATTTGTACTTGTGGCTAATCTCAAGTCCTTCCAGAACTTTGCCAAATGGATGTTATTAAGATCTTAAGCTTCTCTCTGGAAAATTTGTTGCAGTTGACAAACAGTTATTCTCAGCACTTAAAACCCAGTAAATATATCTGTGCAGTTTGACTTTGTTAAAAAAAAAGGCTCTATGATTACAGACTTTAGTCCTAATGCTGCTGAATAATGCTCAGCAAAATTCTTCTTTATAAATAGTTACATCTGAAATAACAGAAGAAAAAAAAATCCATGCATATGAATGCTTCAGAGGACTGCCAAAACCTACAAATATGCATAATTTCTTAAGAACCTTACATGCCATGTGACAGAAACAATGGGATCTTTCATGGCACAAAAGATGGATAAATTAACTTGTCTGAAATGCTGAAATGCTTGGGGTTTGGACCTTCTTGGCACTGGAAATATATTGAATATGGGGAAAGCTGTAGTTAAACTGAAGTGTATGTAGCTGAACTGAACTGAATGGCCCGTGATGAAATTTGTGGTGGAGCCAGACAGCAGGCTTATCAACTGCATGACACACAAATACTCTGAATTAAGACAATGCAGTAAATAAGGAAGGGATGCTTGATTTTTTTTTTAAATAAAAATTATGTAATGATTATGAAGTAGA